GGCGGGCGCTTCGGAGCACGACGCCGTCGCCTCGTGTGCCGTTTTGCAGATTGCGCAATGGCGCCAGCGGTATCATCCCCGGCCCGCCGAACACCCCTCCTCGTTGGTGCGCTGCACTGTCTCCACTGACTCGGCGCGCCGGCGCCACCGACGTGACGACGCGGGTCACCAACCGGAAGACCGTGGGCGTGGCGGGCCGCGGCGAGGTGGGGCGGGGCGGGGTGGGGCGGGGCGGGGCGGGGCGGGCGCCGGGGCGGCACGCACCTCTGCGGTGCTCTGCCTCCGCTGCGGTTCGTCTTCGGCCTCGCGTCTCCGCGTCCAAACTCATCATGACTGCTAAACGAATCGCGACACAGTCCGTGAATGGGTCGCCCGCGGTCGCCCGCCCCTTCAAGTGCCCCGTGACCCAGGTCGCCATTATTATTCCTCCTCGCGGTGATTGACGCCGTGATCGAGAACAATGGTTTCCCAATGTGAGGCCCTGGCGGCGCCGTGGCGTGGCGTGGCGTGCCGCGCTGGTCAGCGCTCATTGTACCCGCCGGATCGCCCTGCCCGGCTCTGCCATGGGCGTGAAATGTGCGAGGTCCCCGTCGAGGCCCTGGCCGAGGCCCGCGAGGCCGTGCGGGCGGCGGCCGCATCTTCCGGCCGCTCGGGGTCCACGACGGCGACCACCACGATGGGGCCGATCTTTATCTGGATCAGGAGCGGCGCGACGACGGGCGGCGCCGCATACATTAGACATTAGGCGGCCTCGCCACAGCAGCAGGAACTCCCCGCAGGCACGGTCCATTTTTACGCCATTTTTTCACGTCGTGCAAAGTTTTTGGCAGTGCCGCAGGCAAGGGGGGGGGGGGAGGGGGACTTTGCAACAATACTTTCCATCGTGTGGCCGTGCGGCGGGTCGGGCCGGCCGGGTCACGCCGTCGATAGTGCATTAGCGCCTTTCATGCCGCCTCACTTTTGATGGCATCTCCGACAAGCCTCCGACCGGCCGGGTCGGCCGCAGCCCGACCCTCCCGACCCTCCCGACCCTCCCGACCCTCCCCCCTCCACCGCCTCCTCCGGGAGCTGCCCCGCGCCAATCAACTAATCGTTACCGGCGACCTCCCCATCCCCGCTCTGGCGACGGCATCGGCCTTCCCATACTGTGCCATTTTGAGCCCAAGCCTTTGAAAGCGGCGGCACGGCGACGCAAGGCTGAAGGCTGAGGCTGTGTCTGTCTGCCCGCCGCGCCGAGCCTGCGCCTTGGGTGCACGCTCAGCCCGCCCAGCCCCGTCTGTCTGTCTGTGATGTAAAAGTTTTCGCAACTTTGGCGGCAGTGTGAAGTGTGGTGTAACAGTGTAACGGGCCCTCCTTCCGCCGCTCACGATTTTCTAGCCATCGAGGGCCCTTTTCTAATCGGGACCCTAAATGCGCCCTGGCGCCGCACGCATGCACACGCACACACACAAGCACAGGCAAACGCACACGCACACGAACACATTAGCGGCCCGGCAGCCTTTTTGTTCCCGAGCAAGTCTTTCAGTGCAGGCACGACACGAGTTGGTGCGGGCAGGGCAGTCAGCCTGGCAGTCAGCCTGGCGGGGTAGGCAGACCCGCTCGCCTCGGCCGCCCCCGTCAAGTCCACCTCGCAGGCGGCGTCCGGCGGCCGCGCCGAGTGCTGCTTCCCGCGGCCGAGTGCGGCCGAGTGCTTCCCAAACAGAGCGACGCGCGACGACGCGGCGGGCCGCCGGCCGGGAGGTCGTGGGCCGTATGGCGCTGCGGCGTGGCGAGGCGCGGCGCGGAGGCACGGCGTGGTCACGACAACCCCGGGGCGGCAGGGATCGCGGCCTTGGCGGCTGCACATGCTGGGCATGCTGGGCCCGGTGTTCGACCAGGTGCCCGCCGCCCCGCCGCCGCACTGGGTCAAGTTTTTCATTTTCTGCCCCCCCCCGCTGCACGTCGCCGTCGTCGCCACACCGATCCGCATCTGCGTCTTCGCCTCCCGTTGGGCGGCGCGCCGTCTGTGATTCCGCTCGGCGTTGCGTCGCTCCGTCTCTCTCGCACTCATGCCGAGCGCACCGCGAGTGCGAGAGAGACGGCACGACGAGTCCGGAATCGCTGTGCTGGCGGCGGTCGGGTAATTATTGCACCCCTCGCGGTGCCGGTGCCGCCGTGCCGTGCCGCCATGCCGTGCCGCCCGTCGGGTCGCAGCGTGACGCGCATGAGGCAGTCCGCCACGGCACGCGTGGTCCACAAGGCCCTGTCCCTGCCCTGCTGCCCTGCTGCCCTCCCAGGACCCCCAGACCGCCACCGCCGCCCCGTGTCGCAAACGAATCCGCCCCGACCCACCGCCACCGCCGTCGCGGTCCTTCGGGGATCGATTAGTCGCTCCGGAGGGAATATTATCGGCCGCTCTGATGAAAGTGAGCAGCAGTCTTCAGGAAGGACGCGCCGGGGAACAACTTATTTACGCAGAACGCCACAACGCGGTGGCGGGGCGGGGTGGGGCGGTTGCGGTTTTGCGGTTTGCTGGTGACGGTGCGCCGCATCCCACCCAGCGACAGTACGACCTTCCCCCCCTCCTCCTCCTGTCTCTCTCCCTCAAGTCGTTCTCATGGCGCGCGCTGCACTCGCTCCCACGCACAGGCTGAACCAACCACGCATCTCATTTCTTCCTCTCAATTTGTCACCCTTCCTGAACGAGACCACAGGTTTGCCAAGATTATGCAAGCAGGACTGCATTACGCCGCTCGGTGCATTCTGAGGAGTTTCGAGGCCGCAGCGCGTCTATACAGTGTCCGATCCCTTTTAGAACTTCAGTGAGCAGGCGCTTGACAGGTTATGTCACCGCAAACGCGTAAGCGTAAAAGTTTTTATGAGACGCGGGCAGGCAACTGTTGAGGGACCAGACTTAAAAGAAACATAAACCGTATTAACATAGTGGTCCTCCCGACACCCACGTGGCTGACCAACATCGCCATGCCGGTCCGGTCGATACCCCTTGCCCACCGTGTGCGAGGGTGTGGCGACGCTCGCGCCCGGGGTAGCGCCGCCGGGCCGCGGCAGGTGCTCGGGGCGCCTGCGCCGATGAAAATTCGGGAGCGTCTTCGTCTTCCTCCTATCCGGGGCCCAGGGCCATCGCGTGCTGCCTCACTGTTATGTCTCTCTTTCTCTCTCTGGTGTCAGTTCGTAATGCTGCCTAATCGTCCTTCCTGGAACGAGGTTATAATTGGTATCGTCTCGGCGGAACAAGTTGTACAAGCAGTGCCCGATGCAGACGCCAGCGCTGCAGCGGAGAGTCGTTTTCGTCGCTCTGTCTCTCTCGCACCCAAAGGGGACGCCCCATGAGTGCGAGAGAGACAGAGCGTCCGCTGCTGCAGCGCCCGGCAGCGCCCCACCTGCGGGCAAGGCGACGGCCTGACAGGCAGTGTCTGGTGACGTGCGCCGCCGCTTCCTCCCGTATTGTTGCTCTCCTTTTATTTTTATTCTTTTTATTCTTTGCTCGGCGCCTCCTCACTTTCACTGACCCTGGAAATTAAAAGTGTACTACTGCCACTCCGGCGGGCCGATGGATGAAAGTGGAAGGGTGGCTTACATAAGCGCGCCACCGGCAGCAATGCCAATCGAATATTTTTTTTTAATTTAATTTTTTTTTCACGTTGAAGGCGAGTGCTGCTGGCCCGGCGCCGTTTGGTTTGCTTGGTGCAGCTTGGCGCGGAGGGGGTGACGTCACCGCAGTCCTTCCAGTGCGGTGGCCACTAGACGCACTAGACGCGTGCCCGGAATCCTTCCTGGCCTACGAATTGCGTGCTGAGTGTGTGCGCGGCTGCGCGCGGAGTCACCCGGGCGCGAACCTCGAACCCTCGGCCTTGAACGTCGAAACTGGAACGCGCGTGCAGATATGCTCAGCGGTGACGACGCGTGCCTCGCTCCGCGGGACTCCAGGTCCTCCAGGACGGCGGCCATGGCGCTCGCGTCAATAGCAGTCGCCTTTATTCTCTGCCCTTTGCAGACGTGCCTCGCGACACCACACTGAGAGCCGCAAAAAATATGAAGGAAGTTTGAAGAAGTTTGAAAAAGTGTGGAAAGAAACTGAAAGGTTGGCAACGGCGGCCAGGCTACGCCGTTGACTTCACGTCGCCGTGCTTCGCGGCATTGTTCAGGCCGGCGGCGGTGCATTGATTCCAGCCTCTTCCTGTGCAGACTGACTCCGAAAGCAGCTTTCCTCGCTCCGTCTTCCTCGCTCCCGCGGGACGTCCCGTGTGGGTGCACTAGAGACAGAGCGACGGAAGCGGCTTTCGGAATGCGTGTGCTGGTTGGCGTCGTTGCAACGAGGGCGCGAGCGCGGCCGGCCGGAGTCATTTGACGTGAACGGTCCGAAGTGGCCGATGCGATCCCCGGCCGGGCCGCGCACCGCCGCACCGCCGCGCCGCACTGCAGGAAGGCGCACCTGAAGTAACACCGCATTCGCAGGCCGCGGCCGCGAGAGGGAGCGAGACAGAGTACCGCACGAGGCGCTGGCTTCAGTTCCAACGAGAGTGAGTGAAAGAGAGGGCGGGCAGTCCCATTCACACCGTGTGCGTCTGACCGTCTGCCCCGCACCGCCCGGCGGCACAGACAATGGGTTGCCCAAACGGTAGGCAGCCACGGCGGCCCAATGCTCCACAGGCCGGGCAGGCCCGCACCGAAAAACGCAACGCCCTCCAGTAACTGCGCGCTAAGTTTCGACAAAGTACGCGGGTTCGCGCGGCGGGCGGGCTCCTGCCGTCGCGTTCCCAGCCATAGCCGTTAGCAGCGACACGCCCCTCTCGGTTTATTCACTCCACACGCTCCCAGTAGACAAATGACGCCAGAAGATCGCCTGCCATTTGAAACGCCCCCCAAGGTCACGCAGTGTTTGTTGTCGGTGTTGGTGCAACGCTCCGAACTAACCGTTGTTGTTGCCACAGACGGGCGGCGGGTGTGGCGCGGGTATCGGTCTTGTGTTTTATCAGTTGTTGCTCCTTGCTGTGTTGCAGGACGGTGTCCGGAACGACGGTGTCCGGGACGTCGGTGTCCGGGACGACGGTGTCCGAGACGACGGTGTCCGGGACCACGGTGTCCACGTCCACCAGGGCGGCAGGATGGACGCCATGAGGGCCGCGGTGTGCCTTCTGGCGCTCTTGGTCTCCCAAAGCGGCGCCCAGTTCAAGAGCAGGGTGCGTACCGCCTGCAGGGGCGCCGGAAGTGGGGTGCAGGGTGGGCAGGCTGCCCCCCCTGGAATTTGGCGGAAAGCTGCGAAAATCGAGTCAGGCGGGTGGGCACCAGTCGCGCAAAGTATCTCCGCAGCGAGCGGAGAGACGCGGTGCGGCGGCCTCTTCCCCCTTCCCCTTGAATTGAATAATTTGTATTAGTATTAGAGTCAGTTGGGGCAATTTTGGGACACGGGGTAAAAATGGGACAGCATATTCCGAGGGGTACCTGACTCAAGATAATCATTGCGCGTCTAGTTGGTAATCAGTGAAATAATCAACATCATCCAATGAAATGACGAAATGACAATCATACTTTCGGGGATTCAATCACTTTTGACCATTTTTGCGAGACCACTGCTCCCAAACTGTCAGCGGTCAAAGCCTTCCCGAGGCGGGGCATGAAAGAGTAGGGTCTTCAGAATAGTAAGGCGTCGAGGGAGGCCTTTGACCGCAACTAAATTGGATGCAGTGACAGCTCAAAGTCAGCAAAAACGATGATTTTCTGAAATTCATTTACTTTTGACCATTTTTGCTAGACCACTGCTCCCAAACTATCAGCGGTCAAAGCCTTCCCGAGGCTGGGCATGAAAGAGTAGGGTCTTCAGAATAGTAAGGCGTCGAGGGATGCCTTTGACCGCAACTAAATTGGATGCAGTGACCGCTTAAAGTAAGCAAAAACGGTGATTTTCTGAAATTCATTTACTTTTTGACCATTTTTGCGAGACCACTGCTCCCAAACTATCAGCGGTCAAAGCCTTCCCGAGGCGGGGCATGAAAGAGTAGGGTCTTTTTAAGCACCTTTTTTTGGTGGGGGAGGGGGGTAATTAGGAACGTAGGATTTAGAATTGTTTGCCCCCCCTGAGGAAATACACTTCCGGCGCCCCTGCGTACCGCCTTCCGCAGGTCGAGGAAGGGCGACAGAGGCAGAGGCGGAGCGAGGCGGAGGTGCAAAGTGCAAAGGCCAGGATAGGGCCGCCGGCCGCCGGCACGACGAGACGCCGTCGATTTACGACGCTGTTACCGCCGCGTCGCGCCGCGTGTGCACGGAGGCGTCGCGCCAGGTGCATGGCGGGTGCCGCGGGTTGCCTACCAGGACCCCGCCTCTCTCCCCCCTCTCTCTGTCAAATGGCACACTGCATCTGCATGCGCTGCTCCAGGAAGATGATAATGACGAGCCACTCGGCCGGGCCTGGCGCCGGCCGGCGTGCCGCACCGTCATCGCGGAGGAGCATTTCCCGGCGCCCTTGGCCTTTCCCGCGCATTCCTGCCGTATCAGCGCGCGGCGTCCGCGGCGTGCTTTGGCGGCGGAGCCGCCGTCGGCCCGGATGGGCTCGGCTAGCTAGCACTGCATGCAGTGCTCTGGGCTGACGGCCGCGACGGCACTGCCGTGTCACTTTCGCCACAATTTATCGTTTGGAACACAGTCCGCTGCGAGTCCGCCTACGACACTGGCACCGCGCAGCGGGGTCGCCGGCACTGGCCGCGCCCCGCCCCGCCCCGCTGCCTCCAAGACGGTCCCGTCGTCGGGGGCCTTATGCCTCATGCCGTCCATGGACGACCCCCCGCGCCGCGCTGGCTGCCGCCCAGAGGCGAGCCAAGTGCCACCTTCAGCTCGAGCGCGGGCACACTGCCACCTCCGCGGCGGGGCGCTCGCGACGGCTTCCTCGAGCACGTCGTCGTGGACGTCGTGGACGTGCATTATCGGGCGAGCAGGCCGTCCGCACGCAAAAGGTCGCGAACATTGCACCCGCTCACGACGTTGTTTGTGTCTGTGCCCGCAGCGCGTCAACAACCCGGACATCCCGGCCAGCAGCTTCTCCTGCGTCGGCCGCCATAATGGCTACTACGCGGACGTGGAGACGGACTGCCAGGTACGACGCGGGCCGGGGCCGCGGGTTCGAGTCCGCCTGACGCCTCGCACTCGCCTTTTACTTTGCTCTCCGGCCTGCAGGTGTACCACATGTGCCTGGACCGGCAGCAGTTCAGCTACCAGTGCCCCAACACGACGCGCTTCCAGCAGCGCATGATGATCTGCGACCACTGGTACCAGGTGGACTGTCCGTCCGCGCCGCTTGCCTACTCCGCCAACCTGCTCATCGGGCAGCGCAACACGCCCTTCGTCGGCGACGACGAGCACCGCGCGCTGCACGAGGCGGCAGGTACGGACAGAGCGCGCGGAGCAAGCGCCCAGCGACTTCACAGCCAGGCGGCAACCCACGCCGGATGGGTGGCCTACCCTGGCCTCCGTAGGCGCAGCGGCGCAGCGTACGGCGAGTCGCTGGCGCCAGCGACTGGGGATTAGGGGAGGGGTGTTCTCTTCATGTGTTTCCCAGACAAGTCCCTGACGCCCATTTAAATTGCTGTTGTTTTCCAGTTCGCACCTCAAAGGGCCTCCTGAAGGGCCTGTCGCAGCCCGCCGCCAACGCCCTGGACGGCTCCGACTCGTCCCGCAAGCCCGCGGTGACTTTCGCGCCCTTCCCCAGGACGACGGCGACCGCCACCTCCACCGCGCGTCCCTTCGCCGCGCCGCCCTCCTCCGCGCTGGAGGCGCCCTTCGAGGACGAGCAGCCGCAGAGGGCGTCCTTCTTCCAGCGGTCGCCCACGTCCAGCTTCGCGCAGCCCTTCCAGAACCAGCTGTTCCAGCAGCAGCCGCAGCCGCTGGCCAGCACGGCCGCCCCCGTGTCCTTCACCTTCACGCCGACGCCGTCCCCCACGCCCCCGCGCTTCTCCATCTCGTTCACGCCGTCGCCGTCCTTCCCGGCGAGCGGCCACAATCTCCAGAGGGCTCCGTCACCCTCCCCCAGCGCCCCAAGCCCCTCCCCGTCGCCGTCGCCGTCCCCCGCACCAGCGTCATCCACTTTCGCCGCCCCCAGCGCCCCCGCTCCAAGCGCCTTCGCCCCCAGTGCCCCTGCCCCCAGCGCCCCTGCCCCCAGCGTCTTTTCGCCTAGCGCGTTTTCGCCTAGTGCTCCCGCACCCGGCACATTCGCACCCAGCGCCTTTTCCCCCAGTGCCTTCGGGCCCAGTGCGTTCTCCCCCAGCGGCCCCGCCCCCAGCGGCCCCGCCCCCAGCGGCCCCCCCCAGCGGCCCCGCCCCCAGCGGCCCCGCCCCCAGCGGCCCCGCCCCCAGCCCCTTCGCCCCCAGCGCCACCGTGTCGTCCCTGAAGCCGCCGTCCAGGGAACTGGAGGCCCCGTTCGGCGACTACCCCGAACCGGAGGGCAACGCCCTGCCCACCGGCCAGCCCTCGACGGCCTTCCCGTCACCGTCCGCGCCGTCCTCGTCCCTGTTCTCGGCGTCGACGCCGGCGCCGGTGCCCGCCGAGTCCATGACGCCCCAGCAGACCGCGTCGTTCGCGGCGCCGCTGCCCCGCGTCGTCGGCGTCGCGCCACCCTCGCGGGAACTCACGCCGCCGCACTACTTCGGCAGCGACGCCCCCGGGCCGCTGTCCGCGCGCATCGTGGCGGCGCCCTTCGCGTCCGGCGCGTCTGCCCTCGGTGCCTCCGCCCCCGGCCTCTCCGCCCCCGGCCTCTCAGCGCCGTCTGCCGCCGCGTCCGCCCCCGCCGCCTCCGGCCCGGGCAGCTTCCCCCGCCCCTTCACCGCGGTCAACTCGACGCAGCGCTACTCACTGTTCGCCGCCACGGCCGCCCCCGTGGCCGCCAGCGTCAGCGCCAGCCCCGCACCGCCGTCCAGGGATCTGGAGGCGCCGCTGGACGAGGGCGAGGTCGACTACAACACCGTGGAGCTCAAGTTCCAGGACACGCGGCGCCTCTTCTTCATACCCACCGGCGACACTGGCAGCGGCGGCAGTGGTAGCGGCGGCAGCGAGGCCACCGACCCCGTGGTGGTCATCAAGTACCCGTCCAAGTCGACGCGGAACGCCAACCTGGGCTCCACCGCGCTGCTCAAGTCGTACCCGGAGGACGTGAAGCGGCGAGTTGACCCCAAGTGCCCACACTGCCACCCCGACTTCGTGGTGCCGGGCACGTGCAGTCCCTGCGTGCTGCTGCGCTAGCCTGCCCCAGCCTGCCCTACACTGCAAACCAGCTGCTAACGCTCCACGGCGCTCTACAGCCTCCAGGAGCTCCACAGCCTTTCCTGTTATTTATTGTGTTGTCTTTTTTGTTGAGCCGTAGTGCTGCTGCGCGCAGCTCCACCTAAATGTTGCATATCTTCGTTGTTTACTTACGTTCCAGACGTTTGTCATTAGAAAAAAAATAAGAAAAACAAACACGGGAGTCCTATTTAGAAAGTCGTTTTTGAAATATCGAATTTGATGAATGTCAATTTGACTGCAAAATGAACGTGTCGGCGAGCTTCCGACAACGGCTGAGCAGAAGCATCAGCAAGTGAAAGACTTGATTTTACAATATTGTACCATATTAGCGCCTAAGTCTAATGTAAAAATGTGAAAAAAATACTTTGTACTAATGTGTGATTGTGTCAGTTGTGTGTTAGTGCGATTGTTTATGTGACTGTATATATGAGAGCGAATGTACGTTTCCGAGTTTTTTTAACCTTTGCGACATGCTTATTTCTGTCTTTGTACATTTCGTAGTTCCCCTCCCCAGAGTTTTTAAAAAATCTATTCTCATTCTTAAGGTGAGTCTGCTGTGTGTTTGTGTGCGTGTGCATCGGCCTAGAGTGTCCCTGCGTATGCATGATTGCGTGCCTTTTTTTCCATTTAAAAACACATTGTCCCTCCCGAGGATGGAAAAAATAAAGTTACCATGCTCAATGTTGGAAGCCTGCAAGTCTTTACTGTGAAAGCCAAAAATTCGAAAACACAAAAATATCCGATATGTTATGCTTGACCATGATTTCACCGTCCTCAAGTCTCCAGCATGATTTTAGCCACGCCTGAGAGTCGAACCCAAGTTCTTTATCGCGGAGGCCGCTTCCTCTGCAGTCTCAACCACTAGTACACACATCTACTTCGGCTAGTTCTAGTGGAGGTGCCGAAAGAAACTCATGCCAGCGCCTGTCGGGTAGGCATCTGAACTTACGCGTCCGCCGAGAGTGGCGAGGGCGCGCGAGGCGCAATGCCCCTTGAGGGATAGGCAGCCCAACTGGCGGCGGTCGCTCTGGAGCGAGCTCTGGAGAGGACTCTGGGGGCAGGTGCGAGCGGCTAAGCCATGGAAAACTGTCCTCGTGCAATGTGAGGCTCTGGTCCTGCGGATGACATTTCCAAACCGTAGACCTTACAGTACACTACCCACGTCCTGTTTGAGGGGGGCCTTAAAAAGGGGGAAACCCCTCCAAAATTCAGTGTACTGTACGCAGGACTGTGGGAATGTGCCGGGATGCGTAACACCTGAACTCAGTTTGATCCAAGGACATGGTCGACCCAAGTCGGCGTTCGGTCGGGGCTCAGGTTGAAGCAGTGTCCTGAGCCAGGGCTAATGTCCTGTATACTGTACCACCTCACGGTTGCCCTGGCTACAGTTTTTGCTGTCATGGAGAGACCTCCTTTTGTCCGTCCTAGACTTCTCTTGCATCGCCCTTTTTTTTCTCCGATCTACGGGTTGTCCGAGGAGCCCCGACCTACAGCTTGTCTGACCTGGCCGTTGACCGTCCCCCAAATCTAGATTTAATGGTGGCCGGTTGTTTGTTTTGATGGTGCGGTATCTGAGTCTCCCCGAAGAAATGAAATTACCCCACGACTGCTCCCTATATACCGGTCGCCCCACCCTGCGACCGTGGTCGTGGTGTCGGTGAGGCAGCCGCGCGCAGGACGGTTTGCAGCAGTTCCGCACGAACCTCCATGGCATTCATGACGGTCCTGTGGACGGCGGCCGCGGCCGTGCTGGTGGCGGCGCTGGTGGCGGCGGCCCACGTCTACCGCCGGGCCTGGCGGATGCACCGAATCACCGCCGACATCCCCGGGCCTGCGCCCTACCCGCTCATCGGCAACCTGCTCCAGATGCTGCTCCCCATGGACCGCGTGTACCACCTCGTGGACTCGCTGTGCTCGCAATTCGGCTACCTCATCAAGACCTGGTACGGCCCCATCCTGGCCATCATGGTCCTGGACCCGGAGGACCTGCAGGTGGTGCTGACGAGCCCGACCCTAGCCAGCAAGCCAGATGTGTTCTACGACGGCGTGAAACGCGTCCTGGGCATGGGCCTCATTACGCTCAACGGCAGCGACTACAAGCGGCACCGCAAGGCCATCACCACCTCCATGCACTTGGACATCCTGCAGGTACTGTGGTGGCGCGCCAAGCTCTTACTGTCTATTTTCCCGTGGTGAGGGTTCTAGTCGTCCCCAAGAAGGGGCAGAGAAGCTCTGAGACGACGGTAACAGAAGTAGTCGCAATACTAGTCCACAGTACCTTTCACCCCATTTCATTACCATTTTATCGAGCATTTTATCTAAAATCACCCTCTGCAAACCCTTTCCCAACAACATTGTGTACCCTTTGGCTGACACCAGTGTCTGCCTTTTGAAAGACTGCCCGGGGCCCTTCCCCCTCTTTCTTCCCACTCCTGACATGAGGAGATGGGAAGAGAGGGTCTGACAGTCTTTAAATAGTCGACAAGACCCCTTTTCTTCGCCCATGTGGCCTGAGTCATCAGTCCAAAAAGATAGTCCTTCAGAGAGAATCAGTGAGAAGCGCAAAGATTACCCCCGTATACAGTGTACAGGCCTTCATTGGCAGTGAGTCAACGGTCAGGAGCTATGACTTCTTGCGACGGTCCCTGCATTGGGTCCCTGCTGACGCAGAGAGTTTTACGGCCCTGTGAACTCTAGCGACGGGATGATTGACATGAAGACTGTTGGGGGCAGGTCACTGCCCGCCTCTTTTTTCGGGTCTGAAGGTAATTCGAAGGTAATCGGAGGGTAATCCAGGTCCGAATGATACGAAATTTATCAGTCATTACCACCACGTCGGGGCCGCCACTCCAGACCGCTGCTGGTGTAACGTGCAAGTTTCAAAGCAGACACTTCTGAGATTCGAATCCTGTCTCCAGCGCCTCTTTGCCTACGCGTACTTACACCAGGCGCGGATAAAAGGGGGGGGGGGCAATGCCGCCTGAAAGGTAGGCAAAAAGTGCTACTTTGCCCCCCCCCCCTTCCCCGATAGGCCGCCTCAGGATCCGCCAATGACTTACGCGCCCAACGCACAAATCCACTCAATATTTTGTACCCACGGCAAAACCCCCTCTTTGAAAGGTGCATCTAGGAGGTACTTTGAAAGCCTTTTTTTTTTGTTTTGACACTTTTTAGACCCCTAAAATCGAGGTGATCCGTTTCGGTGAGGGGAGCGGGTGCGTTCTGTGGTAAAATAAACGGTGACGCTTGCAGGACTTTGTCGCCACGTTCGGCACCAACTGCCGCGAGCTGGAAGCCCGCCTGGACCCGCTGGCCGCGACCGGCGAGGTGTTCGACGTGGCGCACCACCTGGGCCTCAACGCCAGCCTCACCGTCTGCCAGACCGTGCTGGCCGCCGAGGCCCCGGGCCTGGACGCCGAGCGCGACGAGTACGTCGAGATCGTCCACGACGCCAGCAAGATGATGCTGTACCGCGGCCTCAGGCCCTGGTTCCGCTGGGAGGCCTTGTTCAAGCTGCTGTCGCCGGAGTACGGTCGGTTCCAACGCGTGGTAGCGGGTATGACAAACTTTGCCAACAGAGTTCTCACGCAGAAGATGCAAAAGGTGAGTGTAGCGGAAACCCCCTCGAGGAGGTGCCCCTGTATCACGCATCGCGTGCTCGGCATTGACAAAACTCTGCATAGCTGCAGCACATTGCGGCCGCGCCCCCAACGAAGCGCCGTCAGACATTCCTCGACAAGTTCTTGTCGTCGTCCGAGGCGAATGTGCTCACGCGCGGCGAACTGCTGGACGAGCTCAAGACATTGCTGTTTGGTGGAGTCGGCACTTCCATGGACTTCCAGACCCTGTTCATGCTGAGCATGGCCTTGAACCAGGGAGTGCAGCGTAAGGTGCAGCAGGTGAAGCAAAAAATAGCTTAAACGAAACCAAACGTTTCTTTGAAGAAGGTTTTGGACTCTTAGTGCTCCTGCCAGCGAAATCCCGCCGAAAATGGCCGCTTGCCCTGTTCCAGGAACTGGACGACGTGTTCGGGTCGGACAGGGGCCGCGACATCCTGGCCACGGACCTGCCCCACATGAAGTACCTGGAGTGCGCCCTCAAGGAGACACTGCGTTTCTTCCCTCCTGTGCCGGTCTTCGGGCGCATAGTCCTCCAGGACGTGCCGCTGCCGTCGGGCAAGGTCTTACCCGAGGGCTGCTACGTGGGCATCTTGCCCTTGTGGACGCACCGCCACCCCAAGTACTTCCCCGACCCGGAGCGGTTCGACCCCGAGCGCTTCACGCCCGAAAACAGCAGAGACCGGCACCCGTTCGCGTTCATACCGTTCAGGTAAGCACACCCTGTGGTATTCCGTAGAGGACACTGGTCGGACGGGACTTACAGTGGACTTGGCCTACAGCGCCGGGCCCAGGAACTGCATCGGCCAGCGGTACGCCCTGATGTTCGCCAAGACGGTGGCGGCCTCGGTGCTGCGCCGCTACGACGTGCTGCCCGACCCCGACGGCCCGCGCCGCCTCGTGGACGTGCCCCTCGTGGGGGGCATCTCGCTGAGCGTCAAGGGCGGCGTCAAGGTGCGCCTGCGCCGCCGGGGGCTGCACGGTCTCGAGCACGCCGAAGAACCCCCGGTCTACGGCCTGTGAGGCCTGTAGCGAGGAGGCAGCGTGACTGCGAAAATGTGTCGCGTGCGTAGACTCTCTGCGGTGCCTTGTCTAACAGCACGCCGGCGCGTCCCTGGACAATATGTGTGCACTTGGACATGCCTTCGCTCGCCTTCAACGCCGGCAACGCCTCGACGAACAATGTTTTTTCTTTTTAATGGAAAATGTCTCGCACAAGGATGGAAAAAATAAAGTTACCATACTCAATATTGGAAGCCTGCCAGTCTTTACTAGAAAAGCCCTACAGAACACAAAAATATCCGATATGTTATGCTCGACCATAATTTCACCGTCCTGAAGTCTCCATGAAGAGGAAGGAGACAACTCAATTTTTATCATTTTTCAGGAGAAACAAAACACTGTTTACAGGCTAAACTAAACCTAATCAGATGAATGATGCAATGGCATTCCTGTTGAAAAAGAACTTAGTTCTCCCAAATGTGATGGAATTTAAGTGGAGCTGAGGTCTGCGTAGAGTCTATTTTACTTGGTACATTTTTGGAGTTACCTTTTTTTTCCAACCCGTTGGGGGAGTTAAGTTAAAATGATTCTTTTTTACATAAGATTTATAAAGACACAAGTTTTATTGACTCCTTCTCCCATTTTGTGCAATGGAATCATGTGAACCTTGGTCGAGTTATTTCCATTTTCCGATGAAATTTAGACCGTAAAAGGGGTCAAGTTAGGTTACATCCATTTTTCATTAGGAGTTTCTCCTAAACTGTTTTTGGAGTTGGGTCAAATAATTTGATGTGATGATGAAAAACACCCTGAGGCACAATAGTAAAATCAGAACTCAATTTGGAGGCAAGTCCGATTTTTCCATTTTTCCGCTTCCTGGATCATTTTAGCCACGCCTGAGAATCCTTTTAATGCGGGGGCTGCTTCCTCTGCAGCCTGAGCCACTAGTACACACATCTACTTCGGCTAGAGTGAAGGTGCCGAAAGAAACTCATGCCAGCGCCTGTCGGGTAGGCATCTGAACTTACGCGTCCGCCGAGAGTGGCGAGGGCGCGCGAGGCGCAATGCCCCTGGAGGGATAGGCAGCCCAACTGGCGGCGGTCTCTCTGGAGCGAGCTCTGGAGAGGACTCTGGGGGCAGGTGCGAGCGGCTAAGCCATGGAAAACTGTCCTGGTGCAATGTGAGGCTCTGGTCCTGTGGATGACATTTCAAATCCGTAGACCAGACAGTACAGTCCAGTATGAGCCCTGACGAGGGGGAAACCACTCCACAATTCAGTGCACGCAGGACTGTGGGAATCCGCGGGGATCGGCTGGGATGCATATCAACCGAACTCAGGTTGACCCCAGGACTTTGTTGGACTGAAGTCAGCGGGTGTCTAACATAGTTGACCTACCCAAAAGTTGACCAACCCATGTACTAGTCCAAAAGTATTTCGACGCCTCCCAAGAAAACCATCCAAACCCGCCGGGTCGCTAGGAAACATTCTAGCTCACCAGGGCACTAGAACAGCATCGAAACTCGAATAAACCAATTGAGTTCAGACAGTTTCCGAGCGCCTGGGTGAATTGGGATAGCGTCCATGGTCCGCGACCTGTTAGGGTGGTCTCCTGGCGAGTTAGGAGGGGGCGATTTACTGTGCAGACTTTTATAGAGCGACATGCGGCAAAATGTCGGAGTCTCGTTAGTCGGGATGCGTGCGCTCCCTGACGGGCCTGACGGGCCTGACGGGCGCAAAGTGCCCTGGACGCCCTTCGGGCCCTTCGCCCCTCGCTGCCTCGCGGTGCGTCATTTGGCCGACACGGCGAGGCGAGCCACCCCGAGTTTGGCGGTGCTTCGGCGCGCCGCTTTGCCTGCCCGTCGGTCGGTTAGTTAAGCAGAGGAAGTCCCTCATTTTGCCAGTGTCGCTACCCGCGCTGCTACCCGCGTCGGGGTCACCGTCTGAGAAAGGAGAGCCCTTGCTAAACGGCCCCCGTGTAAGGCTCGCTTCTTCGCCGTCGCGGAGGCAAGGTTGCGCGGAGGAGGCCCGCGTTTTGCTTTTTTGCATCAGAGGGCAAAGGCGATGCAGCGGCGACGACGCTTGCGTTCCAAAGTTTTCTGTACTTCTCGATGAAGACAGACGCCTGAGAATGAAACAAAATAGTACTACGCAACTGCCCGGAAGAACCCGAGCAACGCCTCCATCTCGCAGCAACAGCGGCATGCCAGTGTTCGTTCAACTACGCTGAAAGCTTCAGTATGTTCTCAGTGCACGCTTAAATGTTCAGTGTAACTGCTGCGGTTAACGGCTTGAACGTTGGTTCTTCTTGCAATTTTGGGAGATGATACCTTTCGTATCGTTTGGTCTGGCACGGCAAGGACTCCGCGCTGGAATGCCTGGGGCCCCACGGCCAATGTCGCGAGTGATAGGCCCCCCGTCCCTCCATCTGCCCTTGAGTCCTCCAGTACGTTCCACAACGGTTCAGTTCTTTTTCGGGTCCGGGGTACGTTCCTGTTGGCTCAAACACGGCCGAGTGTTGAAACAGCCGCGCCGGCCGCCGCCGCGCCTACAGAGGTCTACGGAGACGGTACGGTGCCGTACGGAGCGGGACTCCGGTAGGCAGTGCGGCCGGACCGCGCCGCCGCGCCCCGCCACCGCGGCCACGGCGCGGCCCGCGGCGCAACGTGCATCGCGAAAACAAGTTTACAATTGAACAGCTGAACCTGTACCGCGCCGGCCGTGCTGGCCACGCTCGCGCCTCGGCAGGCCGACGGCAGGCCGACGGCAGCGGTTCCGATGCGCCGCTGGCCTCCTGACTGGACTTGACTTACGGGACGCGGAAACGCTTCGCGACGGCGTCTCGCGAAGAGCCGAGCTGAGCCGAGCTGAGTCGAGCCAGGTCGAGCCAGGTCGAGCCGAGCCGCGGCGACGCCCCCGACTCTGATAATCCGGCGATACGGGAAGGGCCCGGTGTCCCGCGAGGCCCGGACACCCGGAATCGCAGTGCTGCGGCTGAACCGGCCAGGCGGCCCGGCGTCGAGGGAAGGGGGTGCCTTTGCTGAAGGCTGTGGCACGTCCTGTCTTGGCACAGCGTTCCCGCCCAGTTTTCCTGAGCCGTTTTTCCTAATGCGTATTTTTCCTAAAGACAATCTTCCTAAAGCAAATTTTCCTAATCTGAGATTCCTAAGGACAATTTTCTTAAGGGAAAAATCGTACCGGGACGATTAGTTTGTTCCACACGCTGAAAAGCTTACAAACTATTTTAAGCCTAGCTAAGTAAAGTAGCCTCAGATTCAATTTGAGATTACTAGAGCTTTCAAAGAAAAAAGTTCCTAATTTGGGTAAGTTCCGTACGAACCATTTCTTCGCTTAAGTAATTTTAAATTTGTCTCTAATTTATGTACAAAAATTTCTACATAACTTTCTCTCGCAAATACGTCAATACTTAGTCGCATTTTGTTATGCGAACAAGACAAATCGTTCCGTGTGTGTGCCGTCCGTTCAGTGGCCCCGGATTGGTCACTTTGACCGTTACTCCGTGTTTCCGTAACGACCGATAGCGACGCTGTGCGCGTCCGTAGCGAGACCTTTGAAAGCCCAGAGGCGTTAAGTCGCAAAGAGACAAGAGAGGCTCGTTGGCGATGCTAATAATGCCACTTTGTGTTCATCCTAATTCTATTTCCCCAGAAGATCAGGGTACTCCTTTACGAACCGATCAATTACGTGGGTGGCCTTGCGTTGCTCTTTGTAAATGTCTTGCGGATGCAGGTGCACGGTCAAAACGGAACCTGGTTTTCCCAGGAAGCCCATGGCAAAGACATAGGCGATTTCCAGGGAGTTCCTAGGAAAACCAGGAACCGTTTTTACCGTGTGTTCAAGCTTAATAATGCCAAGAATTGAGAAGATTGAAAAGATTTTTGTGTGTTTGTATCTTACGAAGAAACCAGATAGTTATTATAACAATGGAGAACTGCCCTTTTCACTTAAGAAGTTGCCCGTTAGCACATCCAGGCACGTACGCATGCAGCGGAGTGGCTGAAGCTACTGTCGTGGGCATGGTCCTCCTAAGGACTCCCAACCCGTCCAAGATACGGATGTGAAGCGATCCCAAGGCTGCTAATTGGAACCCCTAACTTGAACTTGAATTATGCTTGTACCGATTTCTCCCCTGTAGAAGAATTTTCACCGTAAGGCTGCTGCGATTTGTAGTCGGCCCACCGACATTAGAGTGGCCATCTGACATAACAACGTATGTTCATAGGGAATCCCATGGTAGATACGCTGTTATGCCCGATAGCTTCAGATTTATCAAGGGCACAAGTAGACTCGGCCCGGCCCAGCAGCGTGGCAGGGCGTCATTGAAACGCAGCACCGAGACAGGCAAGCTGTTTCCGGCTCATCACGCCGGCAGGCACGGCAGACCTCGGCCTTTCAAACAAGGGTTGCGTCACCGATTTGGTCGCAATGTGGGTCGCATGGGGCGTCCACGTCCGTGGCACTCGACTGCAGACTGAGAGTCGTTCTCGTCGCACTGTCTCTCTCGTACTCCTGGGGCGTCCCTGTGAGGTGGACAGAGCGACCAAAGCGACTCTCGGGATCGGTGTGCTGCAGTCGTGGAGATACGGGCGGGCGATAGCGGCGGCAGGCGCCACCCTGCGCCACCTCGGGGCCCGAGGCTCGGGCCGCGGCCGAGGGAAGGGTGGCACGGCGCATTCTTTGCGCTGCCTGGATCCCCCTCGACCGGTCAGCGGAGCGGAGTGTTTCCAGGCAGCCTTTCGGAGCTCCGTCTCTCGTTTGCACTCCTGCCAGACACCCTGTGCACCCAAAAAGGGATTTCTTGAACTAATTGAAAAGGCGAACTGACTTGGCACAAGCAAATGGACTACGTACGAACATTCGAGTGACTTTTGCTTCAACATTCTAATGACTTGACTTGAGTATTTGAGGATGGAACGAAAGCGGTTTGAAAGCGGCTTGATCTTTGCGTTTCGAGAAGTTTTAAGAATTACACGAAGTCGAAGAAGTTTGTGAAATTTCGAAT